CGACACAATAAAAACATAAAACAGTTTTACATATAATTTCGTTGATTTTGTATTTTTTATTGATGTATAAAAAGGAGTTAGTCATTAACTAACTAAATAACTAGCTAACTTATTTTTTATTTATTTATTTATTTTTTTTCTCCATTTATATATACATACTTAACAAACGCATATCTATGCAAAAACATGTACATAAAAACATGTCTAGCAAAAACATGTACATAAAAACATGTCTAGCAAAAACATGTACATAAAAACATGTCTAGCAAAAACATGTACATAAAAACATGTCTAGCAAAAACATGTACATAAAAACATGTCTAGCAAAAACATGTACATAAAAACATGTCTAGCAAAAACATGTACATAAAAACATGTCTAGCAAAAACATGTACATAAAAACATGTCTAGCAAAAACATGTACATAAAAACATGTCTAGCAAAAACATGTACATAAAAACATGTCTATAAAAAAAATATATAAATAACACACATACATATAAACAAAAACGTGTACTGTTTAAATACCCACGTCGCAAAACGCCCTACAAATTTTTTGCTCACTCATCATGTCATAGATATACTTTATATTATATATTTTATATTATATTATATATTTTATATTATATTATATATTTTATATTATATTATAAATTTTATATTATATTATATTATATATTTTATATTATATTATATATTATATATTTTATATTATATTATATATTTTATATTATATTATATATTTTATATTATATATTTTATATTATATTATATTATATTATATTATATATTTTATATTATATTATATTATATTATATATTTTATATTATATATATATATATATATATATATATATATATATATATATATATATATATATATACATACATACATATTATATATTATATATACTTAAGCCATGTCGACTGAAGAAACAATCGGTGATAATACAATACCCATCCCAGAAATATCCGATTTAAATAATAACACAGTAGTTTGTTTTTATTTAGAAACAAAAAATTCAATACGATATGTAGGATTATGTATTTATAATGCAAATACAAACGAATTTTCGTTATGTGAATTTTTAGAAAATGACCATTTTACTATACTAGAATCTATATTAATACAATGTAGACCTTATATTTTGTTATTTTGCAAATGTAATGATAATTTAGATTATTCTCGAATTAAATTAATAATAAATTTATGTGAAATAAAATATAAAGAATTAGCAAAATCAGATTTTCAAACTACACAACTTGAAAATGATTTAAATAAATTGTTAATAGTTACTGGTGATGTTAAAAGTTGTTTTAGTTTATTTGATTTACAATTAGCATATAAAGCTTTATCTTGTATTATAAAACATATGCATTTATTAAATGATGAATGTGCTATAAATAAATGTGTTTTAAAAAATTATAATATTAATCGATACATGAAATTAGATAAAGCAGCAATAGTTGCATTAAATATACATACAGAAAGTAAAAGTTCTAACAGTGGAAATAATAAAAATAAACAAACAAGTAATTCAATAACACTTTATAAATTTTTAAACAAATGTAAAACTAAAATAGGTGAAAGAAAATTATTAAAATGGGTTTTACATCCTATTAAAAATGAAAAAAAAATAAATATAAGATTAGATATGGTTGAAATGTTAAAAGAAGAAGATAGTATAAGATCAATGATTATGTCAGATCATTTACGAAAAGTATGTGACCTAGAACTTATAACAAAAAAATTAAAAATTGTTAATAATAATGTTACTGCCAATACTCAAAATTATAACAATATAAATAAAAACAATACAAAAGTAAGTAAATATAAAAATGTATGTACATTGGAAGATCTTGTAAGGTTATATGAAACAATTATAATATCACGTACAATATTTTATTGTTTAGATGAACATAAAGGAAAATTTAGACAAACATTAGAAGAACATTTATTAAATCCATTAAAAAGTAGTATAGGAAATGTACAATCTTTTTTACAATTAATCGAATTAACAATAGATTTTAATGAAGTTGAAAAACATAATTATTTAATTTCTAGAAAATTTGATGAAGAATTAGAAAAATTAGCAAAAGAGAAAGATGAAATTTATGAAATAATTAAACATCATAGATCAGAAGTTGAAGATGACATAAATTATTTAAAAGGATGTAGTAAAAAAAATGCATCAAAAGAAGATATAAAATTAATCGATTGTAATACTAATACTTTTTTATTTAGAGCTGTAAAAAAAGATTTTAATTATTTACAACAAAGAAAAAAAACATATATACAAGTAAGAATGAATAAAAATGAAATATTATTTCAAACAAATAAATTAAAATCTTTATGTCAAAAATATGAACAAATATTAATTGATTATAATTTAACACAACAACAACTTTCGAATAAAACAATAGAAGTTGCTTCATCTTATTGGGAACCTATTGTAAAATTAACAAAATTATTATCCAAAATTGATATTTATTGTTCTTTTGCTTTTATATGTAGTACTAGTTTATCTTCATATGTAAGACCTATTATAGAAGAAAATGGAAAAATGTTAATAATGAATGGGTCAAGACATCCATTAATTGAAACAAATATATTAATTGTTAATAATTTTATACCTAACGATGTACATATGAATAAAGATAATAAACGATTAAATATAATTACTGGACCTAATATGGGTGGAAAAAGTACTTATATCAGACAAATAGCTTTAATTTGTTTAATGGCACATATTGGGTGTTTTGTTCCTTGTACTTATGCAAAAATTCCTATCTTTTCTCAAATAATGTGTAGAGTAGGTTCATCAGATATACAATTAAAAGGTATTTCTACATTTTTTTCCGAAATGATAGAAATATCTGCTATTATTAAAAATGCTGATGAAAATAGTTTAGTTATTATAGATGAATTAGGAAGAGGTACATCTACATATGAAGGATTTGGTATAAGTTGGTCTATAGGTAATTACCTTCTAAATAATATAAAATGTTTTTGTTTATTTGCTACACACTTTCATGAAATGTCTAACCTTGAAGAAGAATATGAAGGAGTTATAAATAATCATGTAGGTGCTAAAATAGATCCTGTAACAAATAAAATTTCTTTCCTTTATGAAATAAAAAAAGGTTATGCTGATAAAAGTTATGGTGTCCAAGTTGCACAAATTGCTAAACTACCTAAAAATGTCATAGACAAAGCATTTGAAAAATCAAAAGAATTAGAATCTGTTGAAAACAGATATTATTTTAAATCTCAATTAAAATCTACAACAAATAAACCAGATGAACAAAAAACACAAACTTATGCTGTAACAAAAAATATACTACAACAACTCTTTACTACTAATGAGCAGAAAGACTTTGTTGCCAGTGTTCAAAATCATATGTCGACCCTCAAGCAGTTGATAAGTCAAATGTGATATGTTCGCGGTTTCTTACCCTTTTTTATTTCTTATTTAATTTTTTATTTTTTTATTTTTTTATTTTTTTTTTTTTTATTTTTTTTTTTTTTATTTTTAATTTTTTTTTTTTTTTTTGTTATTATTTTTTTTTTTTTTTATTTTTTATTTAATTTTTTTTTTTATTTTTTAAAAAAAAAAAATGCCTATTGATAAAGGTACAAATCATTATAATACGTACGTACATATGTACATAATATGTGTATACATGTTTACTTTTTTTTTTTAAAAACATTTTCAGTACATTCGCTACACTTACAATACTTTTTAACTTCATAAAATTATGTATATTAATTTATCAAATACTTATATAATTTTTATAAACAATTAAAAATAGATAAGTTTTTTTTTTTTTTTTTTTTTTTTTTTTTTTATAAACAAAACATTATGTGTTAGTATTGCTCACAATGCAATAATTGCACTATACAAACAACTGATACGATTTACTAAATTTATTCAACTTTTTAAAAAAAAAAAAAAAAAAAAAAAAAAAAGCAAAAGCAACTACAAGCAATGATGGAGTAGAATAAGAAAAGCGTAACACATTTTTATTGCTACTACATTATATATATATATATATATATATATATACATATGTAAGTAGTATGTATGTATAGTTTTATCAAATTTTTAAAATATTCAAAAACACAAAGCATATTATGTACTAAAGAAGTTTAATATATATGCATGCCTGCATAGCTTAGTTGGTAGAGCATCCGCCTAGTAAGCGGAAGGTCATCGGTTCGACTCCGGTTGTAGGCTATTTTATATATTATATTTGTACTATATATTTTATTAATTTTTAAATTAACAACATACAAAATAATATATTATTAACTTACAATTATATTTTAAATTTTTATTATATAATTTTTTTAATTACAAAAAAAAAAAAAAAATTAAATAGCTTCATTATTCTTGTCATTATTCTTAGTATAATAAATAGGTTTTTATGTTAGGCTGTTTTATTTTTTCACATAAAAAAAAAAAAAAAAAAAAAATGTACGTTTTTTTTTAAAAACCCATAAAAACATGTTATTTTTTGGTACCTTTTAAATAATGAAAATTATTAATATAAAACATGCTTTTGTTTTTTATCTAATTTTATTTTAATTTACGACAAAATATATAATAAAAAAATGCTTTGTATCATTTTTTTGCAAAAATTGAAATGCCAAAAAATGGCGAAAAAATGGCAAAAAAAATGTCAAAATAATTACGTCACATAAGCACATATACAAGTACAATGAATACATTAGAATCTATAAATAACAATATTATATTATTAAAAATATCGTAGCCTGATAGATACTACATATTTTTATACATATATGTTTATATATACTCATATATAACTTTATATAATATATGTTTGTTTATAAAAATATACATAGTTTATTTTTTTTTTAAATGGTTTAGAGTTATAAAATAGTTAAAGAAAAAGCGATATTAATTATGTACATAAAATACGTTATGTTTTATAATATATATAAAATATATATAAAAAAAAAAAATAAAAAAAAAAATGTCCAAAGCAGGATTCGAACCTGCGTTGCCACATCCACAGTGTGGAGTCCTAACCACTAGACGATTTGGACAGATACTTAAATATTTTATTTTATATTTAACTATATAAAAAAATAAAAAAAATGCCAACTTTTTTTTTTTTTTTTTTGTAGTAAACAGATATATATTTATATCAATATGTAGATACAAATAATATGTTTCTATATATATTTTTTTTTATTTAATAATTTTAATTATTAATTTTTACTTAAATTTATAAGTTACAAAAAAAAATATATATATATATATATATATATATACGTATATATATATATGGATGGATATACACCTACTACATTTAAAGATGCTTATTTTTTTTTATTTTTAATCTATATCAACATAATTTTTTTTTTTAAATTTTAAAATAAAATATGTACATGTTTAACGTATATGTATGAACGTAATTTATTCCACTTTTATTCCTTTTATTCATAAATAGTAAATACTCTTTTATTTGTAAAATTTAGCATTATTTTTTAACTTCAAGTTTCAAAAACAAAAATAGATAGTATTTCATAGTATAATAAAACAAAAAAAAAAGCGTTGTTTTTAATTTTATTTGTTATTTTTGCATTTTTTTGTTTTTGAAACTTGAAATTGCAAAAAAAAAAAATATATATATTATATTTTTTTACATCAGAATAGAATATATTTTCACCATGAATATGCTATAATATTTACGTTATACTTAATTTTTTTTTTTTTTTTTTTTTTAATTTGTTCATACATTAAGTTTTTTTTCAACCTTTATTTAAAAAAATGTTTTTTTTTTTTTATAACACATTTTTTATTGAAATATACAACATTAGCTAAATTATAATAATATAAAAATTTTAGAAAATAAAAAAAAAAAAAATGTGCACCTGAACATTACGCTAAGCACAAATCACACAGTTGTTCATATAAATGTATATATAGCGAAAAAAAATGTATGTTTTTTTTTTTTTTTTTTTTTTTATTTCAAAAACATGTTATTTTTAAAAATACATGTTATATTTAATGAAATTGTAATATGCGCTACCTTAGCTCAGTCGGTAGAGCGCCAGACTCTTAATCTGGTGGTCAGGGGTTCGAGCCCCCTAGGTAGCTTTCCCGTTTTGGATTTTTATTATTAACAAAAAAAATAGATCCATAATATATATGTTAATAATTTTTTTTTAATATTTTAAAGATTATCTTATACTGTACTTTTTATTGGTTTGTTATTTTACACTGTAGTATTTTTTTGTTATGTAGATAAAAAATATGAAAGCTATAAAATATATACATGTACTTCCTTTTTTTTTTTTTTTTTTTTTTTTTTTTTTTTTTTTTTTTTTTTTTTTTTTTTTTTTTTTTAATTTTTATTTTAAATTTTTATATATATATATATATATATAATAAATATATATATATATATATATATATATATATATATATATATATATATATATATTTTTTTTTTTTTGTTTTTTTTTTTTTTTTATATGTTTTTATTATGATATACATTATTAAACATAGTATTGCGATGAGGAAACACTAAAAAAATATTACGCTTGTTTGATTTAACAGCTAAACTAAAAACAGGTACTCATATAGTTAATATACGTTTATAATTTTCGATTTTTTTTTTATAATGTTTATTGAATAAAAAAAACAAAAAAGTTTTTAAAAGTTATAAAACTAATAAAAAGCTAACTTGAAAATGTACTATTAATTTAACAGTAATATTTTATTTTTATTAAATAATAATGGTTGGTTTAGAAAAATAATTTACTGGCATTACGTTAGTATGTAAGTACGTATGTATGTATGTGCTACACAGGTAAAACTACAATATATGAACTAATAATATATAAAAAATACAAACACGTGTGTATAGGTTGTTTTTATAACTAAGCGTTATTAAATATAATCAAGCAACTGTTGTGATTCCACATTTGTTATAAGTTATATAAAAACATTGTTCTTTCTTTGTTCTTTCTTTGTTCTTTCTTTGTTCTTTTTTTGTTCTTTCTTTGTTCTTTTTTTGTTCTTTCTTTGTTCTTTTTTTGTTCTTTCTTTGTTCTTTCTTTGTTCTTTTTTTGTTCTTTCTTTGTTCTTTTTTTGTTCTTTCTTTGTCCTTTCTTTGTTCTTTTTTTGTTCTTTCTTTGTCCTTTCTTTGTTCTTTTTTTGTTCTTTCTTTGTTCTTTTTTTGTTCTTTCTTTGTTCTTTTTTTGTTCTTTCTTTTTTTTTTTTCTTTACTAAGCATATTAATTATGCTTACTAAAGAGTGAGTAATCACTTTTTTTATATCAGGGACATTTTTATATAATTGTACTCGGTCGTATAAACTAGGTATACCTTAAAAAGTTAGTTTCGAATTGCCAAATACTTACATGAAAAAAAAAAAAAAAAAAACATATTATTTATCAATTTATTCTCACGTGGGTGTGTTTGTTTTACTATCTTTGGTATACATGATGTATAATATAATTATACCAAAAAAAAAAAAAAAAAAATAAACATATAAAGTAATAATATTGAACTTATTTGACATATATATAAATAGTTATATACACTTACCATTTTTTACATTGCATCTATTCTTATTACTTTTTTTTTTTTTTTTTTTTAAATGTGCCGTCATACTTTTTATAACTTCTAATCATGCTGGCAAATAATATAACAAAAGCAAAACGATAAACAAAACATTAATATAAACAATGTTAAAAATAACATATAAACAATTAAATATCAAATATCAACATAAAAAAAAAAAATGTTTAAAAAAATGAAAAAAAAAAAAAAATATAAAATATATATAAATGTATTTTTACACAAAAATAAGCAAAAAAAAAAAATGTAAGTGCTGTTGAAAGCCTCCTAGGGGACTCGAACCCCTGACCACCAGATTAAAAGTCTGGCGCTCTACCAACTGAGCTAAAGAGGCACTT